TCATTTATTTATTGGTTTTGGCTGCGTTGTGTCTTCGTTGCTGCGTGCAGGCTTTCTCTCGTAGCAGCGAGCGGGGGCTACTCTTCCTTGTGGTGTGTGGGCTTCTCATTGCGGTGGCTTCTCTTGTTGCAGAGCGCGGGCTCTAGGCATGCAGGCTTCAATAGTTGTGGCACACGGGCTTCAGTAGTTGTGGCACGTGATCTCAGTAGTTGTGGCTCTCGGGCTCTAGAGCACAGGCTCAGTAGTTGTGGCACATGGGCTTAGTTGCTCCGCGGCATGTGGGATCTTCCCGGACCAGGGCTTGAACCCTTATCTCCTGCATTGGCAGGCAGGTTCTTAACCACTGCACCACCAGGGAAGTCCTAAGTGGTATTTTTAAAATACCAAATTTGCCTTCTTAAAAATGACAACTTGGGGAATTCCCTGGTGGTCCAGGGGTTAAGACTTCATGCTTCCAGTGCCGAAGTCCCAGATTCGATCCCTGGTTGGGGAACAAAGATCCTGCAGGCTGCGGGCCGTGGCCAAAAAAAAAAAAACAAAGGACAACTTGTTCTTTCAATGTGAATTTTTAAAAACTAGTGAGATTTATATTTTCCCACATTTTTGTTAAGTGGTTATGTTTCCTTTTTGGCAGTTACCTGTTTTGGTGTTTTACCCATTTATCTATTGGGCTCTTATGCATTTTCTTTCATAACTTGCTATGATGTGAATTCCTTATTTTTTTAATTTTTTTGGTTTGTTTGTTTATTTATTTATTTAGGCTGCATTGGGTCTTCGTTGCTACGCGGGCTTTTCTCTAGCTGCAGCGAGCGGGGGCTACTCTTCGTTGCGGTCCGCGGGCTTCTCATTGCAGTGGCTTCTCTTGTTGCGGAGCAGGGGCTCTAGGCACGCGGGCTTCAGTAGTTGTGGCACACGGGCTTCAGTAGGTGTGAGACGCGGGCTCAGTAGTTGTGGCTCGCAGGCTCTAGAGCACAGGCTCAGTAGTTGTGGCGCGTGGGATTAGCTGCTCCGCGGCATGTGGGATCTTCCCAGACCAGGGCTCAAACCCGTGTCCCCTGCATTGGCAGGTGGATTCTTAACCACTGTGCCACCAGGGAAGCCCCATGAATTCTTTATTACATGGACATTAGTTATTTATTGTGAATTTCCCTCCCCTGGTTTTCATGTTCCTTTTGATTTCAGCCATGCTTCTCTTGGGCATGAGGGGAAGTTTGAGTGCTCGGGGCCGGGGGCAGCTCTTGACCTTTGCGATTTCTCTTCTGGCTTTAAACTGGGCGTCCTGGGTGTGTCTGTTCTGCCAGCGTCTCTGGGTGTGGTGCCCACGGCTGGTCCTGGCGATGGTTCTAGCAGGCGTCTCCCCACCTCATGGGTGAGAGAGGCAGGTGCGTGGGGTTTCCCTGAGAGAGTAGAGTTTCTTCCTACTCAATGACAATGAGTTTGTCATTGGTACTGAAGTAGTTACGCTAATGATAACATCCGTGTGGTGTCCACAGCTGACAGCGAACGTCTAGCCCCCCTGTTCCTTTTGGAGCGTGTTGGTGCTGGGTCTCCCAACCTGCACCTGCCGGGCGCACAGGGGCTGCAGGTGCTCAGAAAGGCGGGGTCGGGGTGGGCCCTGTCTGGACGCCCAGGGGTCTTCTTAGCACACGTGACAGGCCCACCTGCCTGTGGAGCCATTGCTTTGAGCCTGCCTGTGGAGCCTGGGCGAGCTAAGTGAGGGGGCTGCAGCCCTTGTGTCGTGTGGTGTTTGGGGCATCTTCGGAAGATCTTTCTAAGTCAGGGCCCTTGCGACTGAAATAAAGTGGCAAGTCCATGCCCTGTGTCCTGCGTGGGACACCCAGGCCTCAGGTGGACAGTGGCTGGGCCACGTCCCTGCTGTGGTCACCTGGACAAGTCACCCACCTCACTGAACCTGCTTCCTGTTAACTTGGGAGAACCCATTTATTCACACAGCATTTATCGAGCGCCTGCTATGTGCCTGGCTCTGCTCTGGGCACTGAAATCTGATGGTCATCCACACAAGTCCCTCCTCCTGAGCTGCTTTCATGCAGTGGGGGACAGACAGCAAACCGATATGAAACACCAGTGGTGATGATGGCAGTAAAACAAGGTGCTGTGACAGGGAAGCCCCTCGGGCCACACTGAATGTGGTGTCCAGAGAGGCTCTCTGAAGAGGTGAGAGTCGTCTAAGCTGCAGCTGGAATGACAGGAAGGAGACGCCTGTGCAAAGGCACCGGGGCAGAGAATCGGAGGGGGAGGAGGCCAGCAGGGCTGGTGAGCAGCACGAGGAGGGGCTGTCTTGGAGAGCTTTCTCAGAACTTTGGGTTTTATTCCGAATTCCCTGGGAAGGGTCTAAGGGGGGCAGGGAACGATCTTTAAATAAAGATCCTGTGGCTGTGGTGTGGAGGGCAGACTGTCGGATGGGGGTGGAAGGGGCAACCAGTGCATTCTAGGGGTGATGGCACCAGCCCGGGTGGGGAGCTGGCAGTGAGGGGGACTTTCTGATGGCCACGTGGGCTGGAAGCGTACGGGGGGTGGGCTGGTCCCCTCTGAGAGGTTGTTTGGGAGTGACCCGTCGGGGTGGGGGGGCCGGCAGCCGGCCCGGGGTGACCTTCGGGCTGGGCGCCAGCAGCCCCTGTGTGAGCTGAGCCTTTGTGTTAGGAGGAAGTACTGGCAGGCAGTCTGCTTCAGACTCTTGGGACCTGCAGACTCCCTCACTAACCGGGCCGGATGAGCTGTGAAGAAAGTGATTTTTCAGCATTTAAAGCAGGGACATGGGACCCCTTGTGTGGCCCCCACTGGGCCAGGCCTGGTGGCCTGGTGGAATCCTAGAGAATACAGTGGCATGTACTTTGTGCCACCTCCAGCACTCCACTCCTGCATGCAAACCCTGCATCCTCCCCCAACCCCAGAACCCCTCCCTCATCGCGCTCCCGGGGTTGCCAGCTGCCTGCTAAGCGCTTTGCATTCATTATCTGTGTCCAGCATTTTCCAAGAATGTCAGCGCGGGGGTCTGACAGGTCTGAGGACTTGGCGGGTTCTAACTCTGTGATCTTGGCCTCCTTTTTAACCTCTTGAGGGTCAGCTGCGTCTGTGAAACGGGGCAGTAGACATAACAGAATGCAGGCAGAGTTTAGTGAGATGATCTGCGTAGCTCTACCTGGTGCTCACTCAACATGGCAAATGTGTAACAAATCGTAACCATCTGGGTGCCCGAGGTACCACGAGGCTCCTTCTGCCTGCAGAATAAACAGAGAGTGCCGCCCGAGGGGGGCAGCGCTTGACCCTGAGTGACGCTGATGGTGAACTTGTACTTCACTGTGGCAGGTGGTGGGGACTGGAGACCTGACCCACTGCTTGTCACTTCTGTACCCCCCGCGGGGCCAGGAAGCAGTCGGCGTGGGCAGTCTTTGAGCATTTCGCCTGATGGGCCTTCTGCTGGGCTTTGGGCTGAGGGAGCTGCGAGTAAACAGAGTCACGGGAGAGTTCCTGTTTTGTTCGGAATAACACGGCCCCTTTGCTTAGTTTTGTAGGGATCTGTAGGGGCGTGAACTGGGTGTTGCCTGTCGAAAAGGTGTGGCAGGAACGCCCGGGCGGTGATGCAGAATGATGCGGACAGCGGCGACATTCCACCTGCTGCCTGCCAGCTTGCGGATGCGGCCGTCAGTCCTGTGGCCTCTTCCAGCCTTTGCCGCCAAGGCTGATGGGTGGCCTTTGTCTTAATCAGGCTCGCTGACCTGGACGCCTCACTGATGAGGACCCTTCTGTTTCCCTCGCATGGGAGCCAGGCAGGGCGTGGGAGTGGGCGGGCTGCAGACTGCCCGTGGCAGCCCTGCAGAGGGCAGAGGGCAGGAGCTGGTGTGGAGCCTGGGTCTCTGGTCATGGTGATGTAAGCAAAGGCTGGGGTTTTCTGCCTGCGGCTCAGTCTTCCAGAGCCTGATGGCCGACTCCCCGGAGGAGGGGGCATGGGCTGCAAGTCAGGGGGCCTGGCCAGTCCCTGTACCGCCTGTGAGGACAAGGGAGAGCCCTGCATCAGCGGCCCCCAGGTTCCCGCCTCCAGGGTTGGGTTAGGTCAGGTCCTTCCAGGACCCAAGTGCGAGGGCTCAGTCACGGTGGTAAAGTAGTTTCTGGAGAAGAGAAAGAAACCAGGAGCAATTTAATATCTTGGGTTTCTAAGAAACAGCTCTGCAGCACATCTTGGAATTTTGTCGGATCTGTGTAGACACCCGCCTTTGTGGGTCCCCCTCTGTGCCAGGCGCGGGCTCTCCACGCCCATGGTCTCAGTCTGTGTTCACCCCCAGAAACCTGGGGTCAGAGAGGCTGCGATGCTTGCCCGCTGTCACGTGGCAAGTGCAGAGCTGGAGTGGAAACTCAGTCCTTCCTACCAGAGCCTGTGGGCTTTTTCTCCTTGTGTGGGAAAGAGTACCGTAAAGATTTATCATAAAGGAATCCTGTTTGTAATAAAAAGAAGTCAGTCTGGCATGCCGAGAGGCTCCGTGGCACCAGGGTGAGGGTAGGGTGGACATCCTCCCTGCTTCCTGCCTGCCGCTCAGCGTGGTTAGCAAAGGGGCAGCTGTTCCTTTAAGTCGGATTCTCCGTGGGAGCTGCGGCAGCCTGGGGTGGGGATGGGGGGAGGGAGGTGCCTGCCTGACAGATCTCCCATCCTAAGCCCTTCCGGCTCCCAGCCAGACAGCCTGCCCATGACGTTCCCTCTGATTCCGTCTTTCCTTCCGCACCGAAGCTACTGATTCATCCACAGGCTGGAGTCCACTGTGCCATGGGGGGGGGGGGGGGTCTCGTGGCCTTGAGCCTCTTTGGGTGCCCCATGGTGGGGTGTGAGGGAAAAGGGGGCTCTGAACATCACACAGTCCTGGCTGCTTTCTGACCAGAAACATAGGTCGGGGGCGGGGTGGGGGACAGGGCCCGGGCCCGGCCAAGGTCACGGGGCTGGGGCCAGGTTGACCCATCCTTCCTCACTCCTCTCTGGCCTCCCTGTGCAGGGTGCTTCAAGGATGACCGCATCGTCTTCTGGACTTGGATGTTCTCTACCTACTTCATGGAGAAGTGGGCCCCGCGGCAGGACGACATGCTCTTCTACGTGCGCCGGAAGCTGGCGTACATGGGCAGCGAGGGCGCCGTCGACGGGCGGAAGGTGGGTGGCCCCTCAGGGCCCAGCCAAGCCTCCCTGGAGGTCTGCTCTTCGTGTGAGAGAGGGGCTTCCCTGCAGTCCTTGTGCGAGTCGAGAGGGGAACATGGTGTTCATTTAGCACCTGCCAGGCTTCAGGAACTGTGCGGGGATGGCCACACACGTGTCTGATGGCGGGATGCGCTGGGCTTGTGTAGATAGACATCATTATTAATCTTCACCACGACCCTGGAAAGCAGCGATTATCATCAGTGTAGTACCTTGGAGGAAACACGGACAGAGGCTGGGTGATTTGGCCAGCATCTCATAATTAGTAAATAAATGGGGGAGCAAAGATTTTGGCCCCAGCAGCTGGGGTCCTCCCTGGCCGCGGGCAGTTGAGCCAGCTTGGGGACGATGCTGGTGCCTACCAGGCCCTGAGCGCTCACCACGCACCCGACACGGTGCTGAGCTCTCTGCCTCCCGATCTCGTTGTGTCTTCCCAGCGACTCAGCAGGGCAGGGGTTATTATCCCCACTTTACAGAAGAGGAAGCCGAGGGCTCACAGGTGGAATGAGTCACCTCAGGTGTTTCATCAGCTAAGTTTAGACTTTGCATGTTTTTCAGAAGCTTTATTTAGTATTTTGTAAAATGTTTAAGCAACCTGTATGCCAAACATGGAAACACGTTGCTTCCCTTTAAATACACGGAAACGGGAGGGCCGTGGAGGCAGGTCTTTGCAGCGTGCCCACCGCAGGGCCTGCAGCCCCGGGCCGGGGCTTGTTACCTGGGGCTTGTGCCTCCCCTGCCGTGTGCCTGCTCTTTGAGCCTGACGCGTGATGGGTTTTCTGCAGATGGACAGGCCTGGTGCCCGCTGCAAAGGAGGCATGGTGGCTTGCAATGCCGGCGGCCGTATGGCTGGTCTGGCCGGGCTGCGTGTCATGCAGGAAGGCCCAGGGGTGGGCCAGGGTCCTCTGGTGTCCATCTGGTGTCTGCAGCAGCTGGCTGTGTGGCCGCGTTGTCACTGGGGCCGGTGGGCACTGGGACCCTGAAGTGCATCGCGTGGCGCCAACACAGTGTGGCAACTGTAGTGACCAGAACTTGGGTTTTATCCCCAGAGCCCTGGGAAACCACTGAGCCTGACAAACCAACGAAGGGGACGTGGTCAGAGTTCCATGTGGCAGGCTCTCGGGCATAGGTGGGGGAAGGGTTGGGGGGGCGTCAGAGTAGAAGTGAGGAGCTGCCGTGCTGCGCCAAGCCGGGCGGAGGGAGGGGTGTCAGGGTGGGGTCAACTCCGAGGAAGGCCCAGGAAGTGGGCTTAACTAGCAGGGCTTCAGGTGACTGAATGTGGGGCGGAGGGAAGACTTGGCCTGGCAGCCAGGTCTCTGGCTTGGGCCTGGGGTGAATCTGGAGGGGACACAGGAGGAGGGCAGGTGTTGGACGGGTTGAGTCGCAGGTGCCCGTGGGACATCCAGATGGCGGTGTCTTCCAGGCAGTGGGTTTCCTGTGTGAAACTGAGCAGAGAGGTCAGGGAGGAGCTACAGATTTGGGACCATGGGCACCAAGATGGCATGGGAAGAGGAGGGAGCCTCGGGGGAGTAACAAAGAGGCCTAGGACAGAGCCCTGAGCCAGCCTGATGTGGGAGGGACCAGCTGGAGACCTTGAGCAACTGGCTGGAGAGGTGGAGGGCTCCAGAAGTGGGCAGGCGTGGGGATGCAGGACGAGAGGGGGACGGGCCATTGGATCTGGTGACCAGAGGCTGTGGCACAGGCCTCGCCTGCACGGCCTTGGTGCTGGGTGGGACCCGAGCCACACTCAGTGTGGGCAGGGGGAGCCCTGGGAGGGATGGAGGGGTGGAATTTGGGGGCAGGTATGGGTGGAGAGGTCCTGAGCTGAGCGCCTTCGGGAGCCTGGCCCAAGGTCCCCGGTCACCACACCCACCCTTCCGGTCCAGCATCATCTCCCCCTACTGGCCTTGTAACCTAGTCCAGTCAGCTCCTCTCTAAGGCTCAGCCTCTCCTGGAAAAGGGGGCCGGGTTAAGGCCGTCCCATCGCACACACCTGGGGGGCCAGAGGTTTGGGCGATGTGACCACACGAGTCCCCTGGCAGAGGGCGGTGAGAGTCTTGGGTGCCTCGGAGCCGGTGTCTCCCGTGATGGGCACGCTGTCCTCTGTCCTCGGCACAGCTCCTGGGGTGCAGGCACTGCTCCCTCCACAGTTCGCCAGCGGGGAGACTGGAGCCTGGGGGCAGACAGCCGGGAGGCAGCAGGGCTGTGGGCTCCGACTTCTGTCCGCCACCTCTCCGGCCTGTTGGCATCTGCTGGGGTTCAGATTACAGATGACTTTTTTTTTTTTTGCAAAATCTTGGTGTTTTCTCAAAGGCAGGGAGACCAGAGGCTCCAGTAAGGACTGGGCACATCTGAGACTCTCAGCTGTGCCTTGGATTTCGGTGCCTGGAGAGGCCCCGCCTCTAGTCAGGGAGGGTTTTCTTAGCCTGACTTGGCCTTGAATTCTCCAGGCGGGCAGGCGGGAACAGGGAGAGGCCAGGTCTGCGTGTTCCCAGAGTGGCCAGGCAGGGAGGCGAAAAGAATGGGCAGACGATGGTCTCTTTCTCCCGGGGAAAGAACCCTGGACTCAGGACTGAGGAGTTTGAAGCAGGAGGCCCGGGGCCACGTGCGAGCTCTCCTGAAGGTTGGGGGCTGTTGAGGTCGGGGGGGAGCCTGAGTCCATGGGAGTGTGTGGCAGTCTAGCTGTTCACGTGCTGGAATGTTCCATCGAACACCTGCCTTGAGCTCTGTACAGATGCCTCTCTCCCAGCACTGGGAGCACAAAATGACTCAGACTTGGCCCGGTCCTCGGGGAGCCCGCAGTCTGTTGGGATGGACAGACAGCGTGGCCAGTGGCACGTGGAGCCGTCGGTGCTGTGATGGTGGGAAGAGTGCGGGTGTCTGGGGACCCACAAAGAGGAGGAGGTGACACCTGGCCGGAATGTTGTAGGACAGAGAGAGGGGACAGCAGTGGACTGAGGACATTCGTGTGGAGGGACCGGCACACGCAGAGCGGGAGGGGCGTGTCAGGCGCACATACGACGGCGCCCTGCCGGGCTGGGCCATGTCACATCTGCCGGTAGTGTTTGGAAGGCAGCCGGCGGGCAGCGATGTGGCGAGATCCCGCAGGCCTGGGGGTGCGAGGTGGGCAGGGAGGGGGAGTGAGGAGACCACACAGCCGCCCCCAGGCAGCTTCTCTGCCCGCACTGCTCAAAAGAACAGAAAGGCAAGCCCCTGGCAGGCGTGCTGCGGGCCCTACCGCAGCACCTGCGCGCTGCGGGTTCTCTGCGGCAAGCCCAGGCTGCCTCCGGCCCCCTCCTCGCAACTGCAGCCTAGCGTACCCGGTCACCATAGCAACCCCAGGGCTGCCGGCGCTAGGCCAGTGGTGGAGGGTGGATGGGTGGACGGGCCGCCTGTAGGCGAGGTGAGGAGAGCAGCGTGGGCGGCACAGGCTGCTGGGACCCCCCCCCCCCCCTGCAGGGCCTGAGGGACAACCTTGGAGGCTGAGTTCTCGGTGAACTCTGGGTCGCATAGCTAGAGAGCCCAGCAGTAAGGTTGGAGTCCACGTCTGTGTTAGCACCTGGCGGGTGCAGTGGTGAGGGAGAAGACGGCCCCGTGGGGCTGGGACTCACTTCTGCCCTGGGCCTCGCAGCTGGCTGAGGCCGAGCCCGAGGTGGAGGTGGAGGTGTACCGGCGGGACTCCAAGAAGCTGCCGGGCCTCGGAGACCCTGACATCGACTGGGAGGAGAGCGTCTGCTTGAACCTCATCCTGCAGAAGGTACAGGGGAGCCGTGGGGCAGGGCTCCAGGAGGGGAGCTGTCAGAAGGCCCCGAGGGACAGCAGACCCCTCCACACCCCTGTCCTGCGCTCTCTTCCAGCTGGACTACGTGGTGACATGTGCTGTGTGCACACGAGCTGATGGCGGGGACATCCACGTCCATAAGAAGAAATCCCAGGTGAGCCCTCTCTGGCCGCCCCATGTTTACTTGGGAGGCAAGTCCTCCTGCTGCCTTCCCTGCCCCGAAGTGAGCGTCCGGCTCCAGAAGTCCATTCAGCCCCCGGGGGCCTATGTCCTGCTCAGGAGCGCTAAACCAGTCATCCCAGACGGCTTCTTCCCAAGTGGCAACCTTGAGCGTGGCCTGGCTGTGGGCAGTGTGACCGCGGTGACCTGTGCCTTGGGCAGCACACTCCACCCCACTGAGTGGCTCCTGGTCTGGGTGCAGGGCCGGGGCCACACTCAGTCCTTCGCATCTCCTTTCTTTCAGCAAGTGTTTGCATCCCCCAGTAAACATCCCATGGACAGCAAAGGGGAAGAATCCAAGATCAGCTACCCCAACATCTTCTTCATGATCGACAGCTTCGAGGAGGTGGGCTTTGTCTGCCTCTAGTTCCCCCTCATCAGGGAATACGAGGGAATACGAGACACTTTTCCCTCAGGCCCCACACGCCTTCAGAAAGGCGGTGGGCGCTGGGCTGGGGTCGCGCTCTTCCTGCTGTTTGACTCGGGGCAAGTGAGTTCACCTGGCTCAGAGCCTCAGTTTTCTCATCTGTAAAATGGGCATCAGAGTCGAAAGATCAAAGAGCTCATGAATAATGGGAAAATGCACCGTAAACGCCTACAGAGAGTGCTTCCCAGGTGGGAGGAATCATTGTTATGGCCCTTAAACTCTGAATCAGAGCCTCCACACCTTGGGATCCTAGGATGTCCAAGATGGCTGGGGCTCTAGAAGTCATGTGGACCAAGCTTCTATTTTAAGGTTGGGAAAACTGGGGTCCAAGGCAGGTGACTCGACTGGGAAATGTGGGGTGCCCGGAACCCAGCTGCATCCCACTTGCGACCCTGCCAGCTCCTGTCCAGCCACTCTCCCCTGTCAAGGCCCTGGCAGCGGTGCCGGTACCCACCGGAGTGGGTCGGGGCCCTGGGAGGACTCAGGAAGAAGGGGCCTGTGTTTCAGGGCTCTTCTCGATTGGATTGGTGTGTTGAGGCATCTCAGGCTCGCATGGCTCGTCCGTGGCAGAGCTGAGATTTGAACCTCAGTCTGTGTGACCTCAGAGCTCGGCCTGTACGCTGGCCCCCGGGAGCGGTGACTCGAGCAGGGGCGGGGTGCGGAGTCCCCCGCAGGCCACCCTGGCGGTCGGGCGGTCCATCCGTCGGGCGCCTGAGCTGGTGCCTGCACGCGAACCGTGAAGCTCGGGGCGGGTGGGCTGAGCGCCCACAGCCGGGGTGGAGGAGACCCTAGAAAGCGGGCCAGACGGTCCCCGTGGACCGTTTAACTCCCTGGCATGAGGAAGAGTGATGGGGGCAGTGTCCTTCCGGTGGCCAGGGCGGGTGCGTCCTCTTCCGGTCCCAGAGTCACTGGACGCTGCCCCCACCCCACGGTAGCCTGTCCGCCTTCCTGTGCTGGTCTTGGTGGAGCCGCGGGGGGCCTTGAGCAAATACCCTGACATCTGTGGCTCAGTGTTCCCACCTGCAAAGTGGGAGTTCCTGAGCAGTCCGCCCTGGGCCAGTGAGAGGGTGCTGGGCCGGGAGCCGGGCTGCGGCTGGGTGGTGGCAGCTGGCAGGCGATGAACCCGTCTCTGCCTCGTGCCCCACCCCAGGTGTTCAGCGACATGACCGTGGGCGAAGGAGAGATGGTCTGTGTGGAGCTGGTGGCCAGTGACAAATCCAACACATTCCAAGGGGTCATCTTTCAGGGCTCTATCCGCTACGAGGCGCTCAAGAAGGTGTACGACAACCGCGTGAGTGCAGGGCGGGTGCAGGGCCCAGGGGCGGGCGCCCCCCAGGCCCCCTTCTGCCCTCGCCCGGCTTGGAGCTGTACCTGCCCCTCCTCGGAGCGCCCGCAGCCCCCCGGAGCCCCCTTAGGCGGTTGTGTTGTGCTCTCTACAGCACGTCTCGGCCCACTCCGGCCTACTCCGGCTCCCGAGGGAAGACCCTCCTGGGATTAGCCCCTGCTAGACTGAACTGAGGGGAGAGGAGCCCAGGTAGACGGGCCACTCTCCCGCAGCTGAGCACTGTCCCGAGGACGTCCTCTCTCTGGAGCCTGGGAGGAAGGGACAGGGGAGGTGGTCTCAGGTCCCACTGGGCTGGGGCTCTCTTCCCGGCCTGTGCTGGCCCTGCGTGGGGCATGGTCATCGGGCTGAGAGGGGCATCAGCCAGGGATCCCTAGCGCCCCGGCACTGCCCTGCCTCGTGGGCGAGCCCAGGTCAGCCAGGGCTCGGTCCCCCTGGAGGTGGGCTGGCAGTCCACAGGGGCTGCTCGTGCCCCCAGGGAGCGGGCATCCCTACCTGCCTGACTCAGGCCCTCTCCCACCCGTCCGCAGGTGAGTGTGGCTGCCCGCATGGCACAGAAGATGTCCTTTGGCTTCTACAAGTACAACAACATGGAGTTTGTGCGCATGAAGGGGCCACAGGGCAAGGGCCACGCCGAGATGGCGGTCAGCCGTGTGTCCACTGGTGACACGTCCCCCTGCGGGACCGAAGAGGACTCCAGCCCGGCTTCGCCCATGCACGAGCGGGTAAGGGCTGCGCAGCTCGGGGAGGGGCCTCCCGTCCCTCAGATCTGCTTCCCACCGTCTCCCTGATCCTTACAGCCCCCGGTGAGGTAGGTGTCATCATCCCCAGCCTTCTGGGGAGGAGGCCGAGGTTCAGAGAGGGCAAGTGACTTGCCCAGGGTCGCACAGCAGGTTAGCGCCTGGGCCCTGAGCTGCCGCTGCGGCGGGGCTCCGTCTCCAGGGTCCTGGCGCCTGCCTCAGTGGACCTGCTGGGCGAGTGTGGGCACGTGACCGGCCTTCCCGGAGGGTGAGCCAGGGGTGAGGAGGAGCCAGCCTCCCCTCCTGCCCCAGCAGCATCAGCCGGAGAGTGCAGAGGCCCTGGGGCCGCCTGGCTCTTCTCTCTGCCCGGGCCACTTGTTTACAAGGTGTTGTGCCCCTGAACTGCTGGGAGGCCACCAGCAGCCCGTGGGTGGGCCTGAGCTTTCATGTCTGCAGGCCTGGGGACCCAGGCTTGCCTGATTTACTTGCCCTGTCCCAGGTCACATGGCTCTCGTGTGACAGCACTGAGCCTTTGAGCCCTGCTCTTTCTAGCCACTGTCCTTCCCCAGGGGTGGGAAGCTGAGGTCAGTGGCAGCTTTATTTGCAGAGCCTCCAGGGGCCCCCAGGGCTCAGGCAGGGGAAAGTCTCCAGCCCGCTGGCTGCTTTGCCCCAGTTGGGTCTTCTCAGAGGGGACAGCTCGGAGCTGGGCGTCTTGGACGAAGACAGGGTACTGGGGGCACCTCCAGGAGAGGGGCTGCTGGGGGGCTGGAATCCAGGTGCTGCTGCTTGCGTGAACTGGGACAGGTCTCTTCTCCTGAGCCTCAGTTTGCTCATCCAGAAACGGGGTGAAAACACCTGCCTCCCGAGGTGCTGGGGGCTCAGAGGAGCCGCTGAACATCAGATGGGGCCCTCAGGTCACAGCCGCTGTGGGGACGGCGGCTGGTCTGCCTGGGAAAATGGCTCCTGAGCGTGTAAGTCACGCATCACTGCTGGCGCGCCTTAGACGGGGGAGCGCATACGTGAAATACTTCTAATTCTGTAAAATTACGTTCACCTTGCACATCTCCAGGTAGTCAGATGGCGGTTTTCCTTCTTTGTATGTCTTTTTTTTGCTTTGGAGTTTCTGCAGTAAATGTGTCTTATAAGCAGAACAGAAACAATAAGTGCTCTTTTTTGTGATGATGGGTGAGAATTCCAGGCAGGGGCCTCTGTTGTCTTGGGAATAGAGGTGGTTTACAGTCGAGATAAGGAGGCTTATTCTTCTCCTTGGTCCTGAATTGCCCACTGAGGCCCTAACGAATGTGTATGTGAAACCCCTTGTGAAGACGTGGCCTGGGCTTGGGCTGGACAAACCTGGGTGCCCGTTCCAGCCACTTGTTTGCCGAGTGACCACAGATCGGTTACTAGACCTGCCCGGGCCTTGATTTTCCATCTGTCAAATGGGGGTGATGATCTTTCTCGCTCAGGGTGGCTGCGGGGGTGAAGGAGACGGTGCCTGGGAAAGTCCCTGGCCCATAGTAGCAGGGAGGCCTGGGGTCAAGGGGAGGGGCTTGCCAGGGTCACGCAGCTGTCAGTGGCAGGCCCTGACCTCCCAGGACTGCACGGGCCCCCTCCACCTCTGTGCTCACTGTCGCTTGTCCCCTCCCTTTTCCAGAGGGGTCGTTTGTAACCAGCGCATGACAAATGCAGACTCTGTGTGTATTGTGGTTTCTGGTGTTTGTTTTTTTATCTTTTAAAAACCTTCCCTGGCTTGTGGGAGGACCGTCTGGAGCCCAGCGGCCGCCGGGACTCTGGTGGATGTCGGAGCCGTGACGAGGAGGCTGATGGGGCTCCCGAAGTCTCAGTCCCAGCTCGTCTTGTTCCTCAGATTCTTGTTTGCATGGGGAAGAGGGAGGAGATGGGCCACGTTCCCTCTGCCTGGAACGCCCTTCCCCCCCTTCTTCACCTAGCGAACTCCTACTCGTCCTTCAAGACCCAGCTCAAGCGGCATCTCCTCCGGGAAGCCTTTCCTGATTTCCCAGGCTGTTGATTCCTTTTGCCTCTGTGCTCCCCTGTATCCTGTGCTTCCGTTTTTCTGTCTCAACAACAACATTCGGTCTGTGGTTGTCAACTTTTGGGTCTCTTGCCCCCAGCAGACTGTGAGCTCCTTGAGGGCAGGGACCACTGTCACGTGCCTGTCTGTCCTTAGTGCTGCCCTGAGTGGGTGTGGAGAATGGGTGGTGACTGGCAGTGTGGCTGGAAGAGAGGAGAGGAGGAGATGGACGCATGGACCGCTTGGCCACTGCACATCTATGAAAGGATGCTGGGAGAGAGGGGGGATGGGACATAGTAGCCAAAAGAAGAAATCAGGGTGAAGAGCATGGCCTTAGGGGCAGAAGACCTGGGTTGCAACCCGGTGTGGCCACCATCCTGCTGGGTGACCTCGGGCACGTCAGGGTCGCTGTCCCGCCTTAGTTTCTTCTTTGTCAGATGGGCTGATGCCGGTTCCCGTTGTGGGAGGTTGGGAAGGTTCGGTGCCGTGGCGGGTGCTTGAGCCGCGTCAGCGGCCAGGCTTGCTTTGGGCTCTGACGACCCTCTGACTGGTGTTTGAGGCCCGCAGGAGGGCAGCCCGGTCCCTCCCGGGGCAGCGCTGGCGGCCAGCACCCGCTGGGCCCCAGCAGGGCGGGTGTCCTTGTCGTCCGAGGCGGGAGGTGGGTGGGCACTGGGACCCCGGGTCGGTGGGCCGCTCTGGTGACTCGCCCCTTGTTCCCAGGTGACCTCCTTCAGCACTCCCCCAACGCCCGAGCGCAACCACCGGCCCGCCTTCTTCTCCCCGTCCCTCAGGAGGAAGGTGCCCCGGAGCCGGATGGCGGAGATGAAGAAGTCTCACTCGGCCAACGACAGCGAGGAACTCTTCCGGGAGGATGATGGGGGAGGTGACGCTGCCCCTCCCCGAGCTGCTTCCTTCCCCCATCCACAGTTAGAGGGCCGGCCATCCCGGGCGGGGACGGAGCCATGGACAGACAGACAGAGGCCCACCGAGAGGCGCCCCCAGCCCGGCGCTCTCAGCGCTCAGCGTGCGAGGCACAGCTGGCAGTCTGCACTGATTTCAGGGTTTCAGAGCCTTCCCGACATCACTGGTCTGCCTGTTCGGCCGAGCGGGTGGGGGAAACGCCTGCCGGGTGAGGGGAGCTCCGTGGTCCGCGTGCACATGCTGTCACCTCCCTCCCTGGCTTTTCTTCTCAGGTCGCTCTGGAACCCCGGGTGGGAGGGGGGCATCCCTCAGGGTCTCTCCTTGTTCCGTGCAGTCCCCTCAGGGCTCACCTGCCCTCCCCGAGCCCGCGGGCCTGTCTGTCTGGCAGCCTGCTGGGCGTCTCGGCCCGGATGTCGCAGAGGCCCTGGTTCTCAGCCACTCAGTGTGCAGTGTCTCCCGGCTGGCCTGCGCCTTCCCGCTGCTGTCTCTGTGCACGTGGGCCCCGCCGTCAGCCAGCCGTGCGGCGGGGCGGCGGGTCCACGTTCGTCAGAAGAGCAGCGGGAAGCCATCTGGAGGAGCTGGGCTGTGGCGTTGAACGGTCCTGACTGGCAGGACCCAGAGGCAGAGGGCCTGCTGGACGAGACCCTGGCCAGGGCCAGGAGACGCCGGCACCGGCCTCAGCCTGCTCTTGAGTGAGCTTGGGCGAGCGCCTTCCTCACCTCGGCTTACTTCCAGACCAGCAGGAAAGCACTCGTAGCCCCCAGCCTGCCTTCCCGGGCGACCCGTAGATTGGCCGATGGTGACAGGTCATCCCAGCCTCACCCCCATGGCCTCCCAGTGACAGACAGTACCAGAGGGGAGCGGCGAAGTGACACAGTGTGGCGATGGGCCAGACCCCACAGAGGAGACTCTCCAGGACAGAGAAGGGGGTGTCAGGGAGGGCTCAGAGGGGTGGGCCCTGAGGGGTAGGATTGGGCTGGATAGGCAGGAAGGGGCACTGGGTGTTGCAGGCCGGGGCGATGGGGCGCCCAGCAGAGGGTCGAGCTGGGCCAGGGAGGCGCCACCTGGAATGGGAGGTGTTCTCCCCGCCGCCTGGGCCTGACCGGCCTTCTCCCCTCCAGCCGACCTGCACAATGCCACCAACCTGCGGTCTCGGTCCCTGTCCGGCACGGGGCGCTCCCTGGTCGGGTCCTGGCTGAAGCTGAGCAGAACAGACGGGAATTTCCTTCTTTATGCACATTTAACCTACGTCACTTTGCCGCTGCACCGGATTTTAACAGGTAATTTTGACTTTGTGTGGGACTTCTGGGAAAACCATGGCCCCTGAAGGTGTCCCCTTGGGCCGTGCCCTGGCGCCCACCCCGTTATAGTCGAGGGGGAGGCAGAGCTGTCACTGACGGGCTGCAGGGCGGTGCCAGGCAGTGGCTCCAGAGTCCCCGCGTGAGCCCCATTCCCCGTTCCCCGTGGCCTTGCCAGGCAGTGCAGCTGCTCCAAGCCCATTCGTTCCCCGTCTGCACGGAGGGTGGTCACAGCACCGCAGTTACCCGAGGGTTGGAAGAGAAAATGCCCGTGAACGACGTGGCGTGCTTCCTTCATAAATGGAGCACTGGGGGTGTGACCACCCGCGTCTTCCCCGCCGCCCTAGACATCCTGGAAGTACGGCAGAAGCCCATCCTGATGACCTAGCCGTGTGCGGGGCCCACGCGGAGCCTCCAGCCCTGCCCAGTCCTGGGAGTGCTGCCAAGTGCCTACCTGTCCACCGTCACTGGGGTCTTCCGGGACCACCCAGCGCCGCAGCCGGAGCCAGGTGGGACCACTCGACTCCCGGGGCCAGGGCCAGCTCCACCAACACCAGCCCAAACTGAAGTGCCTCGTTCTCCTCCCCGCTGGCTCTGCTCCTGCCCACCCACCCGGCACCCTCAGCCCGTCTCTGGAGAACCCTCTGCACCCAAAGAGGACCAGAGATGCCAAGAGGCATAAGAGAGAGCAGAGGAGCAGCCAGCATCCAGAGAGAGTCCAGCCCTACGGACCCGACGTGTGCATCCCGACGGGCGGCAGGCAGAAACCACTGGCTGGGGGCACGCAGTGTGTCAGACTGTCAGCACTTAAGGAACAGTGCTTTCAGATTTTGTGACACTGTACCGATGACCTTCAGCATCCAAGTTAGTCCCGGTCGTCTGTCCTCCCTCGTTTACTCCTGGTTGTAGATGGGTTTCCACGGGGAGCGGGGAACACGGCTGTCTGATGGTTTTGCCCTGGGCTGGGAATACCTCAGCCCGTGCCCGGTTCCAGACAGGCCCCCATCCTGCCAGAATGGCCTTTGCTTCCAGCCAAAGAGCATCACCAACACACACACCTCCAGCTTGGAGACAGTCACCCCACCTGCGCCTCAGCTGGCGTGGCCTGTGGACTTCGGATTCTGAGGGCAGGAGAGGGTGCTTGGTAGCCAGACAGGAGAAGGGTGGGGGTCCCTGCCAAAGGGTGAGGAGGGGTCTGCGTTCTCCCAGGAAGGTTCCAGGCAGAACCTCCGTCCTCTGGGGCCAGGGGAGGCGATAGGGTGTTTCATCTTCCCTGGTTTCTTAGAGCTTATTTCCTTTGAATGGGCGTGCTGGTCCCATTTCTCAGACCAGTCACTGAGGCAAAGGGGAACTGGCTTCCATGTGGCTTGTCAGGCACCGTTCCAGCTTGAGGGGTTTCCACCTGTGGTGACACATTGCACTCTTCTGAAAACCGTGAGCCCCCTCGGGTACAGAAGCGTTTCCCCTGCCCACGGGAATAAGCCGTCAGCTGGGTCTCTGCTGCTCTGTTTTGCTTGCGTCCTCAGGAGTGTTTGAAGGGTTCCTGGTGTACTAGGGTTAGAGATCCTCTGGGGGAGAAGAGGGAGAGGAGGAGGGGCGCGTCTTCCCGTCTGTTTCCATTCTGCGCGTTCTAAGGGTCTGCGCTGGGCTCCGGGAACTGGGGACTACTTTGGGGCTTCTCCAGATTTTGTATGCTGTTATTAAAAGCGAGCTACTGCATTTCATTCTGCCTCAGTTTGCCCACCTGTCGATGGGGCTGATACCACCTACCTCACCGCAGTCTCCAGGGTTCCGGTGCACGACCGGGTCAGGGCGAGATGGCCAGCCCTCCTGCATAGCTCAGCTCAGGTCAGGTGGCAGACCATCGGGACGCTTACCCTACCCCACACCCCGGTCACCAGGCCGGGGAGGCGAGTGGTGGGGTCGGGGCAAACGTTCTTGCGTTCTCTGACAGTGCCCGGCTCATGCTCGGCTGCATCTCAGCTCCCCGCACAGCTTCACGTTCCAAAACTGTGTCTTAGGGCAGCAGAGTCAGGTCACGCCCCAGAGTGTTGGAGCAGAGAGAGCCTCAGGGAGCCGTGAGCCTGGCCCGGTGTTCCCAGGTGCCGGGTGAGTGTTCTCTGGGGAGCCCAACTCTGCAGCCACGTCTGTGTCCGAGGCAGCTGAATTACAGCTTTTCCTTCAGGCTCCTTTTCTTCCTGGTCTTCTGGGGTCTGAAGACTCTGGCTCAGTTCTTGGGAGAAATGCAGTCCTAATGTATCTGCCGCGGAAGGATGAGGTAGTTTCGCACATGCGCAGTGCAGCCGCCCTCCCCGTTCTCATGGGGGAGGAGCCCGAGAAGGGTCCGCCCGCACTGGAGCCAGAAATCGGCTCCTCCTCAAACGTGTCCTGCCTCGAAGGGTAACTGAGGGCCAGTTGCAAGGAACGCGTTAACGTGCTTTGCAGAGCTTAGACATGCGGGCCACGGTGGTCTTAGAGATCACGCCTCACTGGTAAAGCGCGTGAACGTAGGTAGCACCTAGCATGTGCAGGCACCGTGCTAAACGTTTAGCTGCTGTCATCACCCCCTTCTTACAGATGAGGGAGCAGCCACACACGGAGAGGTTGGGACAACAGGAGCCCAACCCAGGAGTCTGGCCCCAGTCGACACTGAGCCTCGACACTGTGCTGCCCCAGGACTGATGCACGAAAGTTCCGTGGAATCGACCTTTCTCAGTCTTAAATCCTCCAGAGGCTACTTCTGACACTGAATTTAAAACATGCTTAGAGGCACTTGGTAACTAGGCAGTAAGCTGTTACTCTGAGTTTTGCTTTTCTCAAAGTCACAAATGACATCAGTAACAGAGTGACAAGTGACGGGGCCAGAACCGGGGCCCCGACATCCCAGGGCGTCCTGGTGTTGACACATCTTACTTCCTGTAGGGCCATCTTTCGTTTTCTGGGAACGTGCCTGTCTCTTGTATAAGGAGGGGACAGCCAGAGCGCGTGAACATCTCTTAAACGGGAATTGGAATTAAAGTGCAGTTTTCCTTTGAAGAAACCTGTAACCTCTAAGCTTTTTAGGACATTAATAAGAAAGTTATCTTCTTTTTAGAGTCAGACCCGTGTCTTCCCTGTTTCCACCTCCTTCAGCACCCGAAGGTTCGGGCAGTGTTTAGTCTCCATTCCGATGTCTGATGGAAGGAACTTTCAGTTGTCTGTGCAAACAGCTGAGGCTTGTTATTTCAAAAGGATATTATTTTTAAGTAACAGAGAAGTAGTCAAAGAGAAGAAAGGGCAGAATATTCTAAAGCCAGTCAACTTGGAGATAGCGTGGGTTTTCTGGCGAGTCAGAGCCTTGCTAACGTTTGGGTTTCGCAAGGACTGTGAACAAATCATCAGAAATCAGTTAGGTTTCTGTCAATGACAGTAACGGCAGACAGGCATGTTCCTGATGTGATTTTGTTTTTCAAAGAATCTAGCTAGAATCGAACCAGGACCTATTTTTGCTGTTTTAATCACAGACAAACTAGTCAGTAGAGATTTTTGAAGAATGATGTGAAAACTTTATTTCTTAAAAGACATTCCAGAGGAAGTCCCTATGCAGTTGGTACATTCTAACGACTGACTTCTGAACAACATTCGACATTATCATAATGAGGGGGTTTTAAATTGCTGGCCAAAATGCTTCAAAGATTTACCTTGAAAATATAGATTTACCTATAAAACTGTCAACTTTTTAATGCGCCTTGGTGATAGGTTTCACTCTGATAATTCTGTTCAGTTTTCCAACGTAGCTGGAATTTAGTTACAAAACCAAGTGTCTTTTGCCAGTACATTGATTATTCCTGTGCAGGCCTTCTCTCTTCTGTGTATCAGACAGCAGAATTACTTCCCTTCAAAAAGATAACCGCCCTAATGGGACACAGACTCCGACAGGGATGTGATGCTAGCCGACATCGGGCCCTGGAGCTGGAGTGGAAGTAGCCTCTGGAGGCGTTAGCAGCCCCCCGGGAGTCGGGTGATGGGTGCACCGGGGCTTCTTACCTTTGTTCCTGTTCACTGACGGACGTGATCCTCAGCGGAGAAGGAATCCTGCAGCCCTTCGTCTGAGCCCCGGGAACAGACAGCCCTGGACAACTCCTCGGGACACCGCACAGAAGCCAAATCACTTGCACACCGAGCGGCCTGGGGCTGGGTTCAGAGTCCACAGCGGGTAGAGCCTCAGAAGCAGAGGCAGCCAGCCGCGTGGAGCCGTTGGTGTTTAGTTTTCTACTCTTCCCAGGGCAGGCGGGCATCTTCGTGGCTGCGGTTCCAGCCCTGAGCTCAGTAGATGAAAACCAACAGCGACGCTCCAACGCTGCTGAGCGGCTGCCAGTGTCGTCTTCAGTCCCCCACTTCCTAGAAGGTTGGACGATTTAGGTGTAAATAGCAATCTTGTATGGTCTCCAGACGAGTTCTGTGTGGGAGAATATGTAAACCTGCGAAGAAAACCTGTTGAGATTTTTCACTACTTCGAGGCCTAACTAAAATGATTTCTACAAAATATATTTTAGCAGAAACACCAGGACGGCATACATTGACTATATGAGGATCTAGCTGGCAGTGCTGTTCCCATAAGCACTGTCAACAGCTTCTGCATTAACCATCTTCCACATACAAGAGAAATAATTTCTAAGCAGTTGTTTGTGGTTGGCTGCTAGCTGTGCTTTATGAGTTTGCATTTCTTTTGAAAGTTGATTTGCATGTTGGGTATTATTTATTTCTTCTCTGATGAATCTGTACCTATTTTTTTCTCCAGTGGGTGTTTCAGATTACAGATATTACAGCAGTGTGCTAATTTACTGATTGAACCTTAATTTCCCCCCAGAGGTGTCTTAAACTGCTTTTGGAGCTTTCATACCCTGGCTTTGGCAGGCCTGGGAGTCAGCAGGGGGTTCTGGAGGCCAGCAGCTACAATTTGGTCAGATGCTGTATTTGCAAAATGAAATCAGAGATTGTTTCAGGGTCAGCTCTCTCAGCCCCTGTGAAGTCAGTTATACTATAAAATTCCCAAGCCTTTGCCAGAGAACCTCTGCAAAGGCCCTGAGGGAAGTGGGAAAGTGACTAGAATAAAAGGAGTCCCAAGTTCACGTTCTGGCAGGCTTCGCATGAGCTACTGGTCTTCTGGAAGGTGGTTTTGGACCGTGGCTGGCTGTTGCCTCCCAGCCCCGGTTCATCGGGTTGACACCGAGAATGCTCACAGCCCCTCAGGCTGACTCTGCCAGAGCCTCCTACTCCGGTTCCTGCAGGTGGAAGCACTGCTCAGGCAGTGGGCTTTTTCTTTCCGTGGTCAGGTGCACTCTTACGTCATAGGGTGATGGGCACAAGTAAGGCCTAAGACACTGTAGAAGGTTATAGAAAATGACAACAGAAAGGGGGGCGGTCTGCGAGGGACACTTCCACAAATCTAGAAATAGAGTAAAGGTCATCACAGCACACCTCTCTCAGAAACACCGGAGCCAGGATTCTCTGAACTGGCGTCACCAAGGGTAGCCTGTCCTTCGGAAGGCGTACAGACGGTACCTAGAAAGGAGGCAGTTTAGTAGGTGAAAAAGGCGACTTCCTTCTCACCCAGATCAGCCCCCTTGTTGTTAATAATGAGGAGGTCCTTTTAAGACAGTCACCCGATTAGTAGAGGTGGGGAGACAGTCTGTGCCCTGGAAGCTACACCTGCGGTAACTGCATTCCTGTTCACTGCTTACTCTTGAGGGCTGTGCTGCTGTTTGCGTTTTTAGTCTGACCTAGATGCACCTTTAGGAACTACTGTCATGCCCTGGCTTAGGAAAAAAATGTTGACTGGAAGGGAAAACCTTTGGGAATTTTATACCGGCAGAAGGGGTAAGTGTAAAGTAACTGACTCCAGACAGTAACACGGTTCACTGTATATATACGTGTTGGATGTGTAAACATGCTGTACTTCGTGCTCGATTGTTAAAATGACAGAACAGCTGGAAAATTGATATGAGGAAGGAAAAATATTTGTTCTGCGGGTGATCAAACAAAAGATGTCTTTGCTTTTGCCCACAGCAACATTAACTTCCCTCCTGACTTGGCCTCCACGTAAGCCAACAGGCTTATCAACAAGATACTTCTTTCCTATTTGTGGGTTAAGGGTCTTTCATCCTGGAACCTGACTTTAATAAAACAATTAGACTGCTCAGTTTGAAATACCATGGTTTTTAGTAAACTTCAGTGATTACAGTTTAAATAAACAATTTTGCTAAAAAGATTTTAGCCAGTTTCAGAAACCAGTGAAGCATAGTCCTTCAATGGGCACATACGTACCTTCAAGTCACACTGGAGGGAGCCCGCGTGGCTCTGTTCCCTCGACACGCTGCATCTCCTTAGGGTTTTGTGAACTGTAAAGTAGAATCACCACCTACCTTCCCAGATGCAGTGAAGCTGGAGACATGTACAAAGGCTGGCATAGTTCCTGGCAACTGTGATAATTACTTTCCTCCTGAAATATGTGCCCAAAGGGGGTTCCATAGATTATCTTTAAACAAGTCATAAGAGAGCACAGATGTAGCCCAGTGGTTCTCAAATTTGACTTGTGTCAGAAACACCTGTTAAAACCCAGACGGCTGGTGATGAAATATTCTGGAATTAGATAGTGGTGATGGTTGCACAACTCTGAATATAGTAAAAACAGCTGCACTGTGCACGTTAAAAGGGTGAATTCTATAGTATGTGAATTATACCTCAATAAAAACCAGAACACATGCCTGGGCCCCTGCCCGAGGATCTGGCTGGGTGGGTGTAGGGTGGGGCCCCAGAGCTGGCATCTCTAACAGGTCCCTGGGTGTTGCCGCCGCCGCCCCCACGGACCACACTGCAGACCCACTGCTCCAGCCCGGCCATTCAGCGCAGCGGAGACGCACTCCTCTACACAGTACCTACCGCTTAGTGTCTTCAGTAGTTTCCGCCAGATGTCGTCAGTTCACGAAAAATACTCCGATGGGTAACTCAGTCTTTATAATATTTTCTTTACCAGGAGACACCTCTTCAAAACCAGCTAAGTGCTGAATAACTCAGGAACGTTTTAAAGATATGAACCTTATTCTAAAACTTTCAAAAGTATATTACAGTGTAATCTGTTAATGCCTTAATAGTGATTTTCTAAATCACCAAAAACTTAAAGTAACATAAACTTAAAATACATTTCTTCTTTCATTTTGATCCTTAGTTTTAAAATGTCCTCCTGGACACAGATCCCAACTCCACTTACTTGTGGAAGAAGCCTCGCCTGCCTCAACTCCAGTTTCTTTGGAAAGCCCACCCAGGAGCCCCTGTCTGGAAGGTTTGCTGCAAGCACTGAACAAGAGAATATATAAAAAGCCCCTAGTGCAATGCTTTGCACATTATCCAACGTAAGATCTGTTATTCCCATTCTAGTTTGTAAAAACGTGCATCCGACAAATTCCTGAATGGCCTGGAATTGGTCTCATCTGGCACAAGGGGTCTGATGATAAAAGGGTCCGGGTCTCTCCTCACCTCTTCTAGGCACTGCTTCTGCATGGTGCTTCCCCCGCCGGCTGGCTTGCCTCTTGCCTCGTACTAAGGCCAGGTGCAGCACAGAGGAACACAGAGAGCGTCAAACACTGTGATTCTGTTTACTTTCCATTTATTCACATTTCATGGATTGATACACTTCCTCAATGGGATCATTCAAAAACTAATACGAACTGAGATTAATTACATTGTCCGACGATTCAAGTATTTTAGAGAACGATTTCCGATTTAAAATAGAAAGCAAACAATTTATCCATCTGATTGCTGAGAAGTTTCCTGCCTCTGCCATAGCTGTGTCCGCGTCAAACGGAGAGCCCTCAGCCTGGACCATCATTGCCACCCGCCACCGACACACAGAGGCCTTGTGCTCAGAACACCGAGTGGGAAGAAAAGTTTTGACGGGCTCCTCACCGTCACCAGCTGGACAAATCCGTTTCTACTGAAAAGCCCTCACTTCCAGAACGAGAATGGATCCTAGGGGTTTGGGAGTAAAGCCCTTTAGTCTGGAAATCTGCAAAGCCTTCAAATGCACTGCGCCTACATTTGGATTGTTCTGAAATATAAGGGTATCTGCCAAATGCTCAAAACAAGCAACTTGTTTACCTTTAAAACTAAACCAAAAGAGCTGTCTCAGTGAAAACTGGTTCTGAACTCTTGACAGTAAGGTAGAATGTTAGTTTTTTTTGCTCTACCCCAGAACAGGTAGATATTTTTTGGCATGCAGCATATCAAAAATACAATTTAGAATTGAAACTGTAAAACAATAATCCTTTTAAGGAAAATCAGTCCATAAACAGACCTGTCCTTCCATGGAAAACACAATCTAAACTTTAAAAACTGGACACGCGTTTTAGCCTGTAATTCTAACAGTGAAGACATTTACACACAACATAACATTCAATGTTTTGCTTAATGGGAATGCTCAGAAGGAGATGAACGAACAGTTTAAAAACAAAAAGGCCACTGGGATACTCAGTGTTTGTCGAGAGATAACACAATCTGATTTAGAATTAAAGATATATACACCCTTTAGGCCACACTTATGACACACTCTTTCTAGATTCTCAAACTAAAGACAAAAATTTTAGTCCACATTAAACATTTTAAAGCCTAATTGCTAATAATTTGTTAAAAATAAATCTAAACCCACAGGGCAGAACTGAGGTGTTACACAGGGGATGAAAAGGCAAGCCCTCCAGGGGCCAAGGAGCCCCTCCCCCAGTAACAATACCGGGACTTAAGAGTTTACAGTGAAATCCACATACGCGTATTAGGCTCTTTTACACTAATACATAATTAAAGTGGAGACTGGCAAGTTCCTAAAGTGTAAGAGTGATTTTAAGAAAATGTCACATTTTGACTTACGGTGGGCACATCACATTTCCCCCTGTAATCTTCACGGTAACAGTACAGTCTTAGCAAGAACTTGCTGGGAATGTTAGGAAAAAGAAAGCCACACATATCCAGCAATTTAAAAAGACAAACTATTTTTACCCAGGGGTGGGGGGGTGGATGGGGGTGTGAAGAGTTAATCCGATCATGACTTTCATGCCATTTTTGGTGAACATTCCACATCGCATGCAAAAGCAAGCAGAAGGATGCACTGAAGGGTCCCCGACGAGGTGTGTGAGCCTTACTTTCTGGTGGGACCCAGGAGCACGCGCAGCTAAGCTGTGACCTGCTGAGGTTTGTCCCCCGTATTTCCTCAGCCCGTTAGCAGCTGGATAACCCTAAGGTCAACAGGGCAGGGCCAGGGTTACTTTAACGGCATCCACCGCCTGTTGACTAAACTCCTCATGAACACTCCCAGTTGTAAAAAGAGCGAGCGAGGTGACCGCCCCTCCCCCCAACCTCACGCCACGCCCGGGTCGACGCCACCCCCGCCCAACAGAGCGAGCGCCTCCCTCTGTGAGTGTCCGGACGAGGTCGCACACTGGGCAGCGAGCTGCAGCGCAGGCGTCGTGAGACACTGGCGCGACTACCTGACCTCAGGTGCGTAAGAGTGACACATCGCAAAATGGATTCCCCGCCTCCTGTACCTCTAAAAGTTAAAGCTTTTCTTCTTTTTAAATAAAAGCAGCTGTACTATCTACACTGATTTTGACTTCTTTTAAAGTCAGAGACATCACGTGCTGAAGATCAGAATATACGCATGGGAGCCCTTGGGCACGGACCCTGAGCCTTTAAACAGGATCATCCGGTACCAGCATTAAGTGATTCATGAGGAATGAATGAAAGTGGACATTTAGAACTTTACCTCTAGTTCATATGACCAGAGTCTTCAAAGAACCCTGGTGTTAGTTACCTGACAGCTATGGAGAAGTGGCGTGGGTATTCGTGTGTGTACCCATGGCTCCCTTCCAAATGGACATACTGAATAGCTTACACTTTAAAAAGTAAATGGAAATTTCAGTATCAAATGCAGAATACACTGCTGTCTAAAAGTTAAAGGCAACATTTACACACACAGTTTTCTCTTCCATTCCCTCATTGCATGTTTCCTGGTTAGTTCACACGGCTCCTGTGTAATAAAACCCCTATGATTTAATAAGTTTAGGTTTCAGATCCATAGGGTTCACCATGGGACAAATAACCAAGAGCATATTCTCTTCCTTTTGTTGTATGCTTTAACCCTTTCTTTTCTGTAAGGGTCTACAAACTACAAATTTGTGCTTTTAAATCTCATTCCTGGCAATCCCCCCCACCCCATTTGTCTCCAGGGGGATACAGAAGTAAGAGCACCTCATGAATAAACCTACAAGACCAAAGAACAAGCTACTCATTTCCGTTTAAAATGAAACAGCAGTTCCAGAATCACAGTAAAGCAGCCGATGGGGTTAGAGGCCAGCGTCCACACGGAAAAAGCTGAAGGCAAACATTCAGTGCTCACATTTCAGCTGTAAAATAACACAATAAAGCAAAGAAACATCTCCGCCACAGCACGGCAGCACGGTTCACGTGGACACACATCAGCCAAGCCCGCCAGAAAGAAGGCCGCTACAGGCAAGCTCCCTTCTGGACACACCGCCGTGAGAAGCCGCGCCGGTGGTGGCAGCTGACCCCAAACCCCTGGATCGGAAAAGCCTTTGGGAAATCTAATCGATACCCTGATTTCAGTCCATTAAGAAATCACCTGTGGTTAGTTTAATAAATGAACATTAAAAATCTTCCAAAAATTTCCTTTCAAATGTATTTCACACATTAGACAGTTCTTAAGAAGGGAGAATACAGTTTCTTGACACTCAACATTAAAGGTTTTATTGGCCATATTATTAATCTTCCTCACAAAACTTTTAAGTTATCTATAAGTCCTAGAATGTCAAAGTAGGAAGAGAAGAAGACTAAGTTTAGGGGGCGGTGGGGAAGCAGCAACTTGGCAACAACTCCTCAGCCGAAGTGTGTTCAGGCATCCTTTTTCTCCTGTAAAATTCTGTGCAGCTCATCTGCATCCTCGCTTGTTTTTACCCGAATTAACATGGTAACTGGGGTGGTGGCGTTCTTCTCATCGATGGGTGGGTTTGGAACGCAGACAACGAGCACGTTGTTTTTCCCTGTGCGAGCACACGGCATATTGGGCGGGATCAGAACATTGAGCAGTATGTTGCCTGCATTTAAACACAGGGGAAAAGCGCATCAAAACATATAAACTATAGTCC